GAGAAATTAAACAATGGAAATATTTTTATTTTCGTCCGTTGGATGCCATTTTTAACTGGTTTTAACTGTAAAAATGAGCTACAAATTTCTATTAGTATTTGAACGGGGATTGCCAATAACTTGCGACTAAGGGACTTACCATTAATAGCTCTATCTGACAAGCCTAGTACGGTAGGAAAAAACATACCGTACGTAGTGTAGTAATGAAAAAAATACAGCAATACAGTAATACAGTTCGTAGTACTAAACCTTCGATATTGTACTTGCAGGTACGGTACTTACGGTACGTACCTCCCTCCAACAAGTTGAAGAAAAAAATTCAAATTCTTTAGTTCCCCATACCGTAGTTCCGAACCCCGGGCTCTTGACATCAGGCTTCTTCCGAGTGAACAGACCGAACAATTCAATTCGATCAATTCGATTGTTCGAATGACCAAGAAACACGAATCAACCTTTGGAATCGAACGATGCACCGGTACAGAAAGATTACAACAGCACGTACAGTAATCGTAACAGTACGAGTACCATACCGTGCTCACGAGTGAGTAGATCTCGCAACTTCATACGAGCAAGTTCTCGATGTTACCGTACTACTTACTCATGGGACCGTGCGTAGTACCCCTGCTGGTACGTGTACGCATCGTGCCATAGCCCCGGGCCCGCAATCCTTCGAACCAATTCCCGGCTAGACCGAATCGAGAAAACGACTCGGAACCGAACCACGCACAAACAAAACACACAACAAACAAGCCATGAAGCACCGAGCGGACGGCGGCGGCGACGCGAGCTCCAAGCTCTACGGGAGCTTTCCCGCGGCGGAGGATCCCGGCGCGAACCTTTCCGCAGACGCACCAGCGGGTCCCGCCGGTGCCGGATCCTTCCGCGGGGGGGCCAACCCGATCCCGCCGCCGAACGCGAGGCCCCCCTCCTATCGAAAGATTGAACGGGGCAGCGGCGAGGGCAGCGGCGACAACGACAACGACGACGACGACGACGACGGCGACGAAAGGGTGTGCCGGATCTGCCTGGAGGAAGACAGCCCCGAAACCATGATTGCACCCTGCCGCTGCAAGGGCTCGAGCAGGTGGGTCCACCGCGAGTGCCTGGACGAGTGGCGGACCAACGAGAGAGACCGTGCCTTTTCCAGGTGCACGGAGTGCCTCTTCGAGTACCACCTGGAGCCCGTCTTCGGGGGGGAGAACGAGAGCGAGAACGACAACGACAACGAGAGCGGGAACGACGGCTGCGGACCGATCGGCGGGTGCTGCGGCCGGCAGAAGCGCCGCCGGTGCCTCTTCTACTGGATGGTGTCCAGGGACGTCTGCACCGGGATCCTTCTGCAGCAGCTCGTGGTCGTCCTCCTGGGAGCAATCGTCCGGGCGTGCGACGGGGACCGGCGGCTTCCGGAGCTGGTTTCGCCGTCTCTCGCGGAACGAAGCGCGCCGGCCCCTTCGTATTGGTATTATTACTACGGATTCGGCTGGCTTGCCTTTCTGATCGCCACCGGCGTCTGTGGATTGGTCGTCCTGTGCACGAATGGGTGCAACCTGAAACGAGCCATCCCCCGGGTCGGGCCGCCATCGGAAGCGGACGGAGAGGCAGCGGTCGCGGGACGAGAACGAGAACGAGAACGGAGCCGCCACGAACGGTCGGATTTCCGTCGCACCGGAAACTTTTATCACTCGGGCACGAATTACAACTATACACGAGTCGATAGCGAGAACGACTACTTTTATCCCCAACAACAACAACAACAACAACAACAGTGGCGGCAGCGACAGCGGGAGCACGAGAGACAGCGCAGGTATGCCGCATCACCGTCCACTCAATACTACCGTCGTGCTCGGCGGCGCCACCGTCATTATCGTCGCCGCCGTCGTTACTGCGACGATTACGATGACTACTACTGCTATTACGGTCCGGCCTATCATCCCGTTTACGTGTACCCAACCGGAAGCAACGATTGCTGCTGCTGCTGCGATTCTCGTGGACCCTCCGTCGATGTCAACAACATTCCAAGCGGCGGTGGATGTTGCGACTGTGATTTTGGCGGTTGCATGAGGGACGTTCACAGAAGCACCCGGAGCGGCAGCAACAGCAGCAACGGCGACGGCAACGACGCGAAGCACGTGCTCTTGGTGGTGCTGCTGGTTGTCGCCATCGTTATGGCCATTGTTGGATTCTTTGTGGGGGTCCTCGTGGTTGTGGTTGCGATCCAAAGAATCGTTGCCCGCCACGTTCACCTGCTACAGAAACGGCAGCTGGTCCAAGAATATCGGGTCGTGGACCTACAAGACTACGATCTAGACACGCCGGTGACTACGGCGCCGGCGGAAGGCGAGGCACCAGCGGGAACCGCGGGCACCGGCAGTCCAGAAGGCTTCGAATCTACCGGTGTGGAGGGCGGTGCGGCTCCCCCGGCAGGCACCGTCGGGCACCCACCGCCGTCGGCACCCGTCATGACCGAGGAAGAGGCCGAATACCTTCGGAAACTAGGCTTGATGGATCGTCGTCGTTAGTACGGTTGCACTAGTAGCAACTTGTAGTACTGTATCATACAACAAGAAAACCACAGGTCGGCACCATAGATCATGGTGGACTTGTTTGGGAACCGTACAGAATTTGTAAACGTGTTGACCGTGTTGACCTTCTTGCTCGATTAACTTCGAAATAAAAAATACTACTACTAGTAGTACCGAACAACCATAGAAACAGTGACTGTACTGAAATAGTCTTTATTTTCATTTGGCATAGAAACTGAGTCACTAATCATCGAATCCATCCTTCTCGAATCCAAGATCCAAAACTCTTCGCGATACACTTCGAACGACCTTCCTCTCGTCTCCCGTCGCAACGAGAAGACCCGGACGGATGGATCCGGCACAACAAACACCTCGCATCTTGCCTTGCCCGCAGGCTTTTCGAATCCATTTCCCGCCTCGCGTCCCATTCCTACCCTTCCATCGGTTCCTAGAACACGCACTACCTCCCGCCAACAATCATGTCCGACGCATCCGCAACCGCACCCACCGGAACCAAGCAGGTGGTTCGCGCGATGGCACTGATCGCCGTGCTGGCCGGCTGCACCTGGTTCTCCCCGGCTCCGAACCCGGCCGGCGGCGGACACGGGCTCGTCCTCCTCCACCTGCTGGCGTTTTCCTCCTGGTTCGGGTGCAGCGTGTGGGTCAGCTTCGTTGCGGGGATCGTCATGTTCAAGACCCTCCCGAGACACACCTTTGGGAGGCTCCAATCCAGGCTCTTTCCCGCCTACTTTGTGTTCTCCGCGGTGTCCATCCTCGTCGCAATCGCCACGAGCGGCGCCCTGGCGAGTCCGGGGGGGGAGGAGGCCGCCGCCCCCTATTCCTTGGTCGTGGTTCTGGTGTGCATTCTTGCCAACCTCTTCTGTTTCGAACCGGCGACGACGAGGGTCATGTACCAGAGGCACGCCGTAGAAAAACGGCTGGGAACGGGGCACGAAATCGGAAAGATACGCCCGGACGATCCGAAGAAGGCAAACGATCCGGAGCTCAGGGCGCTCTCCAAGACCTTTGGGATGCTCCACGGTGTTTCGACGCTCCTCAACCTGTTGGCGCTGGGCTTTGGTTGCGCCTGGCTGAGCAGGTGTGCCGAGCAAATAGTGGTGGCATAGGAAGACAGACGAATGCCATCTCGGGTTGGGAGTATTGGACGAGCCATCTCGAATTCTCGAATGAAAAATGGGAGCAATAGTGGTTGTGCAGTGCTACAAAGAATTATGTCTGGTGTCGGTGGTATTCAAGTAGTAACAATGGCATCAACCAGATGAGCACACGAACCAAAATCCGCGGTACGTTTGTCACAATGACAACAAAAACGGCTGTAATACTAGCTGCACAAACGGATTAGACAAGTCAATGTTATTGATTGTCGCAGTCGCTACAGAAAGACTGATTCGTACTTCTTCTGATGATTGCTGATTGATTTATTGATTCTACTGTCTTCCGATCCAAGCGCAACCATTTACCATTTTCTCCGCTTTTTGTCTTATATCACGACGCCATTGCAAATTGCTTCGCCATGTTTATAGCTCAGTAAATGAATGAATTATTTATCATCGTTGTCACATTGTACTTGCGGTAACAGTGTTTTGGAGCCAGGTATTTTTTTAAATCGTTTATTACAGTACTATTACTATGTACGATACGATACGATACGATACGATAACAGCTACTGTAGTACAGTACGGTAGATATGGTATGTACCGATACGATTCTCGTATTATGTAAGTACAGTACTGTACCGCACGTATGGCACGTTTGGTGAACATACGGTCCGATACGTACTCGTACCGGTACGATAGGACAGCTTCGTGATCATCGCGGAAGAAAGATTTTTCTCTTCAAATTCTTTTCATGAAGAATTTTGATGTCGCTGTCGTTGGCTGCGTTTTTCTGATGTGCTTTCGTGGGCTCGTACGTAGTCATGTTTCGTATCGTATCGTAGAAAATTGGAATTCATTGGTTTTTTGAGTTCGTACAGTCCTGCATGAGAACGAAGGTGCGATAGCTCATTAAATTATCAATTGTCGGTTCGACAAGGAGATCGTCTTTGTCGACTCGAACAGTCTCTAAATACAACACGCTCGATGATTCTGCGTTGCGAGAGTATTATGGAACTCCTCAATCACTGCACCGCATCATACACAAAAAAGCTAACAATGAACCGCCGTCCCCCCGATTCCGAAAGGCCGTCTCTACGGATGACCACAAAAAATGCGATCATGATTGGCAGCTGCATGCTCCTGGCGTTTTTACAACTAAAGTTTGCACCACCATCGCCCTTCTTGTCGGACCCGGAGCAGACCCTTCCACTCCCCCTGACCTCGTCGATGATGTTTGAGCAATACGAGAATGGTGGTCTATACAAAACCCACTTCGAGGCACCTTACACCGAGTATCCGTGCCAGCCCCGAAAGATCCATCTCAGCCCCTCGAGCGACGTCGACCCTGGATCCAACGTGTTCAATGCAACAGTCAGTTTCAACCTCGATGCGAAAGGAGTGGTCCAACACAGTGACGTTGTGACCACCGTAGAGTATGGGCTTGGAAACAACACCGAGGGCAAGATCGTGATTCGTTACGACAATTTGAATAATAACACAATTACGGACGACTTTACCATTCTTCGATTCAATTATACCAACCCCGAAACAGGGGAATTCTATCAAAGCGACCTTATCCACCATGTTCTGTTGAAGGATTTGAAGGCCGGAAGAGAGCGGTATTGGTACCACATCAAGGTCGAGCTCGTCGAGCAGCGGCTGTTCTCGGAATCGGCGATGATTCAGCCCTCGGTCCATTCGATCCTACTTTCGCAAACCAATCCCAACAACAATGCCCCGCTGCGGGGGAGTCCTTTGAGAGATTTAGAACGGTATGGACATGCCACGAGGTCTACGAATAGGATGGAGGAACAACCGCAAAGCAAAACAAGTGGAGGTGATGCAGCTGCAACCGTGGTAGTGGGAGAGACACCCGTCTACGAGTTCACTACCCCACCTCTCTACGGCCAGCCCACATCCATTGCTCTCGTGGGAGATTTGGGGCAAACCAAGAACTCGACGCGGACGATGGCTCGGATTCTCGATGCGGCGAAAGGGGTGGACCACGATGATCTCAGTTCCGACGAACCGCAAGGTGTCGGGTTGGTGACCAACCTCTTCATCGCAGGAGACCTCTCGTACTCCGACGGTGATCCACATCGTTGGGACTCCTGGCTCGACCTCGCTGAGCCCCTCCTGAGGGAGGTCCCCTTTGCATCCATACCAGGGAACCACGAGATCGAATGCAACAAGGTCACACGCGAAACATTTGTCCCGTACGAGTCATACTTTCGGAATCCGAACCGAATCGAGAAGCCCATCATGATCCCACCGTCGGAGGATTACATCAATCACAATTATTGCACTACACCCAGTGAGTTCCTTGAGGGGCACTACGATTACGGAAACGCCTACTATTCCTACAAGCAGGGGCTGGTCCACGCCATCTTTTTGAATTCCTATACCTCGCTGATGGAGGGATCCCGCCAGCGCAAGTGGCTTGTCGAAACCGCGCTTCCGTCGGTCGATCGAAGCCTGACCCCCTGGCTGGTCGTGGTATTCCACACACCCCTGTATACCACTTTTTTGAATCATTTCAACGAGCTCAATCCCACCGTCATGAAGGAATCCGGCCTGCGGGAGGTTTTTCAGAACCACAAGGTCAACCTGGTGCTGTCGGGCCACGACCACGCCTACCTCCGTACAAAGCCGCTGATGCCAGACGGGAGCGTGGCAGCCGATGGAAAAGTCGCTCCTGTCTTTTGGACCCTCGGTGCAGGGGGAAACCGAGAGGGCCACGCGACCTACATCAATCCGTTCTGGCAGGAAAAATGGGTCGCCAAGCGGAACAACGACGAGTTTGGGTTCGGTCTGTTTTTCGCCCCGAACCGGACCCATGCCCACTTGCGATGGATGCGGGACGACGACAACGGACCTACCGATGGTGCTGCTTCTACGAAATCTATGGTAGTGAGGGATAGCGTGTGGATCGAGAATTATTCGTTGGAGTGACCACCAACTAACAACGACAGTGACGAGACGACGACCAACAAACAGAAAGCCGAAATCTTGATCTTCCGTGCCAACATTAATGGGGATGCGTGTGGCCACACCAAATGATGCGAAGAATAGCAGTGGTTTATTCGTGTCGCAACCCATGAGCTGTGAAGACTAGTTATCTTCAAAACCAAGTTCGTACCGTATCGTGAACTTCTAGTAATGAGCATGCACCATAATGCGCATCAGTGCTAGTGGTTGGGCAGCAAAATGAAATGGAGCAAGCGAAAGATCTCTTCCGTATGTGTAACATACCGACTTTTAGTATCTACATAGTAATTAGATGTTATAAGATGCAGTTTGTTGCACGGCACTCGTAGCTCTCGTTCAGGGAAAGTTAGTAAATCAGACCACTCGTTTGTTTGACTGCGTTCTCGATGATGAGGAGATGAGACAGGATAAGTCCGTTGTTATCCGTTGTCACTAATAAAATGTGAAATGTACATACGCTCTTTAGTGTCACAATAAAGATTGAGGTGATTCACTAGTAGCTCACTAGTAGCTGCCCGTGATGTGGTATGTCGTCACACTCTAGAGGGCATTCATGCAATTTTCGTAGTAGTACTACTAGTAGCAGTCAGTACATAATCGGTCCCCTCAATGATCAACATACCAGTCCTCGTATCCTATCAACTAGTGTCGAAAATATGCAGTAAGGAAGCGTTACATCACTGGCATAGAAAATACATCATATCATTTTTGGAAGTGTTCAATCAATCAATCAATCACTAACGAAAAATTAGAATAAATCAATCAGCAAATAATAGAATAAATCAATCAACAAAATGGGCCGTATCGTAAATACGGTTCGTACAGTTTTCGTTCTCTATCTGGAACCTACTGTACGTTCACAGTACAACACGATACGAACTCCACTAATAGAAACAGATCATCTAAGAAGTCAATTTTCGACGAGTTACCTTCAGTCGTGTCAACATCAGTCCATGAGCCAACCAAAACAATCGAGGACATCGATTGGCCAGAATGAAGCATGGTTTAAATTACGAATATCACCATTACTGCGCCTTTTCAACAAATAGGACTGCAAGATTCATCGGCCGGGGTATTGATTCGTCGATGTTCTACGGTGATGCTATGTGCTTTCTTCGGTAGAAAGAAGATGCGCGACATCAAAAATGCACCAGCTAATGGTTGACGTGATTCCATTCGTTTTCTGGTACAGGTGCGTCATTTTCGCCGTTTAATTAATCTTTCTAAAAATAGAAAACATCTTCCTGAAGAACAGTCGCACGTACTTCTTAAAAGTGGTCGTATCGCATATAGCGCCACGCACCATCTCGAGAACCTGTTGTCAACGGTTCCAAGTCAGATATTCCTCTCGTGCGAGGTTACTTTGGTTTAAACTCAACTCTAACATCCAGGACTGCTCCACGCTAAGCCACTCGAGATCGACTTTCCACCGCAGAAATCCCCTCCCGTAACATAATAATCGAAGAAGAACAACACCTCACAATTTTCAACTCTTCATCATCATCATCGTCACGAAACATCATCACAAACACGTATCTGCTCACCAAGATGATTCAAAGAAACGACCTTGCTACGAAAGCACTAGTCAAGACAGTCGAAGACGGAGGCTTTGAACCTACTCGGAAACCAGTCACACTCTGTCTTGGATCGAGCAGCATGATTGCCAAGAACGCCACGAAGCGGCAGTCCGCGCTCAAGAGATCGCGATCGTCTCTGCCAGGATCTTTTGATATGGGAGACTTCTTGAAAGCCTCCGTTCAAGTGGAGGAAACCATAGCTTTCCCAGCCGTCGAGTGGCCCTCACTCGACGACATCGATGGAGACTGCAGCTGCGATGACGATAATAGCTACAGCACCACCCAATACCCCTCCCTGCTTACTAGATCGAGGGACGACCGGGACGAGGACGAGGACGAGGACTGCGATGATTTCTTCGGCTACGAAAGCTCTCGAAGAAAACGCCAATGCCGAGGCCTGACTAGATGCAACCGATCGTGCAATCTCTCATCCCTGTGGAAGATGTCTGCCACCTCGGAACGGCACGGATCTGCCGGTTCTCTTTCATAACGGCAGTTCGTGCTCGGATGAGAAGGAATCCCCAGATTCGGTCCATTTTCGCTATTTCCACAGCACATCAATCATGCTACCTTACGCTACAAACACAGCACCAGATCATACGACACAATTGCCATTTTTACTCCTTAGGCATGCCACTCTTCTCCAAACTACGAGTATCTCGATCATTGTCCTTGCACATTACCCCCACAACGAACGAGAAATCAGAGAAGAAAGAACGTCATGAACGCATATATCGGTTCGTTCTGAAGACTCGATATACAACTCTGTACATTTCATATAAATAGAACTTTTCAATACAGCTACTCGAAGCAACTTTACTCGATGTATTATGTAGGAACGAAAAGCATTAGATGCTCAACAGAAAAATCTTCATCAAAATGGCGTTGATCTACAAGTGCCTACGTAATGAATTTTTAGCGTGATAAGCCACTGGAACTGTTGAGCTCGCTGTGTAATCAGAGATGCATTGAGCGCTCCAAATCGTGCAAGACGGAATGCCTCAACCGGTCGGTACAACTAGTTGTTATTTCAATATCTCAATTTCATTCCACGAAAGTTTGAACAATGATGTCCATTACTCTACGGTGAGGGAATCAGTTCATAAAAAAATCATGAACAATGATCGTTCCCGAACCCGTTCTAGCACTAACGAAAGCGTTGGTAAATTTTTAGCATTCGTGAGCCCTCGTTTTGGTCTTGAAATTCAACTCCGCTCTTTTTCTTTCTGTGAATGGGAAGCACAAATCTTTTCGGATGACTTCCTTCAATCGTTGCTCCACGGTTTTCTTTCATTAAGAAAGAAGCTCTTCTTCCACATGCTCTTCATCGCCACGTTCTTCGCCCTCCATCGATCGGATGGCGTAGCTTGCGAAAGAAGTATGATCGTTGCATACGTCAAGGCTGCTTCTGTAAAGGATGTTCTTCTTTTTTGTTCCTTTCGATGCAACTTCAAAAAGATTCTAAAAATAGATAGGAGAGGGGCCATAGTCTAGAAATGTTGATGCCTCTGAAGTAACAAAACACTGGGAAATAATATATACTGTTAAATACTACTACTTGTACTAAATTATATTGCACAGTATGGTAGGTACGAAGACTAGGTACGAGTTTACCCGGATCAAAATTACTTCCAAAATTTATGCGCTGGTATCTAGGTAAGATGAAGAAGTACGAGTTCGTGATTCTACATACGTACACCGAGGCTCACACTTACAGTACTTGGGTAATCTATCGGTACTACTAGAAATATTAGCTGCATTTCTGTGATGGAAAAAGATTTGTTTCATGTGGTGTAAGTGTTCATCTACGTTCGGTGCGTTCAGTATATTTCGGTCTATTCGTAGGTACGATTTGCAGTCTTCAATACAGTAAGATACGAAATATCCCCACTGTATTTGGCTCATGATGCCTTCCGTTCCGGACGGACCGCACCGAATTCTAGACGTAATTGTATTGTACGTATGCTACGAATTTACTCCAGAATGGTTACGTACGAGTACTTTACGTACCGTACGTACGATAGCATTTTTAAATTTTTGAAGATACGTTCGTAGTTGGTAGGGTACCAGGTACTTTACTGTACGTTGTACCGGTTTGAGTAGAACAGCACAGTAATTTTTACTTTTACTTTCATTGGTAGTTATGTACGGTACACAATGACAGTCGCAGGTAGATTCGCTGAACCTTGTTTTGCTGAACGTACAGACTGTACAATCGCTCAATTGGAGAATTGGAGAATATTTCATATTTCCTCTTCGTGTTGAGAGAACCTAGAAAAAGCTCCAACATAGAAAAGAACAATGGGTAGTACAAATGCGAATAAGACCGTGAAGGAAGCATCCCCGGCCACTTATTCATCGTCGTCACCGGAACCATACGCTTACCTTTCGTCAACCGAGAACAGCACCCTAATTAAAACCCTTGTTGGGGGGAGCTTATTGTCTGTATTTATCGCGACATGGCTCCTTTCGGCGTCATCACCCGCGTTTTTTATGATTTTGTTGTATAACAACCAATGGTCCTCGGTAGTCGTGTTTTCGGTACTCTCGATCAGTGCATACCTTCCTTGGGAGAAAGGATACGTGTCGCAATTCATGTCTGCGTATGCAAGGTGCAATGTCTATTATTACAAGAAATTAACCTTAATTTTCCGAAGCAAAGAATCAATTCCGAAAAAAGATGACAGTCAACCGAAATTGTATGCCGTCCATCCCCACGGCGCCTTCTGTTTGGGATGGTCCGTACTCTTTTGTTCGGGAATCATGAACGACGCACGCGTTCGGTTCTGCTTCTCTCCCGTTCTTTATGCATCGCCTTTTTTTCGATTATGGTGTCGACTTATTGGATGCCCTGGAAGCGCTGCAAAGGCTGCCATGGTGCAATATATGAAGGGCAAGAACAAACCGCCGGAAAGCGCTCCTGACCACTTGGCATTGCCTCCTGGTGGATTTGAAGAAGCTACAATCTCGTATTTGGAAAAGGATCGGGTGTACATCAAAAAACGTGTCGGCTTTGTCAAACTTGCCCTCCAGCATGGATACAACGTCGTGCCAGTTTATACATTTGGAGAAAACGAAAGTTACTTCAATGCGCAGGGCCTGTGGAAATTTCGACTGTGGCTAAATGGAATGGGTATTCCAGCCATAGCTATTTTTGGAGCGTGGTTCTTGCCGCTGTTGCCAAAACGCCAGTCACGTGGGCTACGGGTAGTGGTTGGTGACCCCATTGAGCTTCCAACCATACCGAATCCTACCCGGGAGGAAGTCAAGCATTGGCACGATAAATATATCGTTGCCTTGACTCGTCTCTTCGATGAACATAAGGAAGAATATTATGGACCTGAGATGTCTAAGACCGTGAAGCTGGAACTCTGGTGAACTAGAAGGCGTCTACCGGTCAAACAGTCGGTGAATGACGGAAGATCGTCCAGTGTGCTAAGATCAATATAATGAGACAGACACGAGAAAATATGATGTGAAGAGCCATCAGCGATTTATTGGTTTTTTCGGAACGAAATCAATTTTCAATTGTGCCAATCGATTATACCCATGAGCATCGCAGAACAGTGATTTTTTGTTCTCTTAATTCTTTCAGCACAGCAAGATTCAATCTGTTATATCGTTTCGAGGAATAGAGTGGGAGAGAAGTAGACTACTGTGATCGGAAAAAATAAATTGCGGTTTTGTTTGTTGCCTTGCATACATCTTCAAACTGATGTTGACATTGTTTCACTGAGTTGTTTCGCTATGTCGACGCCTTCGGCTGGTCCAGAGAAAGAACGTCGCTTACTTCATTTTTTTTCTTGAAGCTCATCCAAGGAGCATCCGTTTCGATCATCAATTTCTCTGGAGGAAGAAATGGCAAGAGTTCGCGCAATTGCGCAACCCTTTCCTTCTTGCATATCGTCCCAGTGAAGCCAATATAATATCAGCGCTCGATGTATATGAGAGCCTCGTGAAACAATGGATTACTATCTTTGGCGGCGAGGTGGTGTTATGTTTTGTTTCAACTTTGTCCAAGACCTTGAGTAGGTCAGCATACGCTTCTCGTTCGTGAACAAATATGGGATAGTTCAGGTCGTACGCTAATTGAAMTTGCTCTCGAAATGCACGTATTTGATCAGATTTGGAGCTGAAGTTCCGATTGTAGTCGAGCCCACATTCTCCAAGAGCGACCGCAGAAGAATCCTTCAATATATGTTTAATATCCTCTGCTGAATGACCATCCCAAAATTTGGCATCGTGTGAATGAACCCCAATCGTGACATGTAGATTTGCGGCTTCCTCATCATCGTATCATTTATGTGCCAGCTTCAAGCTATCCTTCGAAGATTTGGTAGAAGTGCAGATCGACACAATTCTATAAACCCCGACGTCCATGGCTCGTCGAATCATACGTTTCCAATTGTCTTTGAAGACACTATTGGTCAGATTAATTCCTCAGTATATGTGTGAGGTGTATGTAAACAACGAGCGACGGTCACATAGAGGGCGTGATGCTGCCAGGGACCACAAATGCTTGTAGTACAAGTGTGGTTATGACCTTATCATTGATACTTTATTAGTTTTATCTAATTAACAGCGTTTCGACGTTTAAAGACTTTCCATGGTAGAGTCGTTTGTTTGAAGACTTTCCATGGTAGATTCATAGTACTGCTATCGTGTGGATTCAGCATAAAACTAAAAATAATCAGCAGCAGGAAGAAGCGCTATCAGCAGCTATGAGTGAGCTCATGAAGCAAACAAGCTGCGCAAAGACCTAAAGCAAGAAACCGGACGCCACTGCTGGTGGGAGCACCACATGGGAAGAAAAAGAATACTAGTAACAGACCCACAAGTAAGTACCAAACCAACTTCGTCAGCAGAAGATGTTCAGACCTTGAAGGCCACATCTTCCACCATGTAGGACCAGACCAAGTGTCACGGTTCATGCCAACCAAGACTGAGCTTGAGGACTCTGCAGGATGCAAGTATGGCAATGATGTTTGCAGGGCCATTCAGGACTCAGGTACGTTTGTGACATGCTGATGGCAGACATTCCTGACGTGGATACCACGAAAGGGACTAATATGCCTATGCAGCACACAAAAGGAAATCATCAAGCAATACGCAATCAAGGTGCTACAACATGAAGACAACCTCAAGAAGATGCACAACGTTGTACATGAACAATGCTCTGATCATGTAATGTTGTAGTGCCACTAGCTACTAGTGCTGATTCGTTCGAAGGTGGGTAAGACTTCTTGAGTTGCTGATTTGTATTCCTGCATATAATATCGATTCATATTTTACGAAACTTGCCAATAATTTTCATGTTGACGGAAACGAATAATTTAGCTAAACAAAGAATCATTCCGTCATCGCATAAGTTTTTGATTTTGTCGACGTGAACATCACGTTACGAATCATTCATGGCTACTACGGAAAAAGTGATAGGATGAGTTGAGAGGGATATTTCCTATTCAATTTACGCGACTGGGACTTTCGCTTTTTTCAACTTGCAGGTGTGGAAAAATCCGCAGAGCGTCGAAAGAGAAAAAAATCGGATGTGTTGATGTTTACCCATAAGGGGTGAGGAAAGGCAAAATTATTCAATGAGTCGCTCCCTCAGCCCCCGAACTTGATCATCTCCACCAGCCAACCAACATCAACATCCCCTGGTAGTTTGCACTTTGGTTCTCGGATTGCTGATGGAGTCATGAATCCTCACAATCCAATTCACCAACTAAACTTGCTTAAAGTTGTCCTGACTTTGCGATCAAGACCTGAGCTCGGGTTCTTCCACTTCCAGATCCGACCGCCTCGATCTTCTTGACCACGTCCATGCCCTGGACGACACTTCCAAAGACAACGTGCTTTCCGTCGAGCCATGCAGTCTGGACAGTACACAAAAAGAACTGAGATCCGTTGGTGTTAGGTCCAGCATTGGCCATGGACAAGATTCCAGGTCCCGTGTGCTTCAGCTTGAAGTTCTCGTCTGCGAACTTTTCTCCGTAAATGGACTTTCCTCCAGTTCCGTTGTGGTTCGTGAAGTCTCCTCCCTGGCACATAAATTCAGTAATGACACGGTGGAAGCTAGATCCCTCGTATCCGAATCCCTTTTCGCCAGTGCACAGAGCGCGCTGAAGAAAATATACCATGAAAGGCAACAAAATTTAAGAAAATAAGAACAAACATTTGAGTCAGTCCTCTGCACACCAAGAACCATGAAAAATTATACTGCTATCACGTTAGACACGGTAAATCACTTACGAAGTTTTCGGCAGTCTTTGGGACAACATCTGCACGCAATTCCATAACGATGCGGCCAGCGGCTGCGCCGCCGATGGTAATGTCGAAGAAAACTTTGGGATTAGACCTATTGATGGAAAAACATTTAAAAAATCAGCAAAATTAGTGTGGATGAAAATTGGATCCAGCAATGAGAGCTTATGCGTTCGTCAATGCAGAAATGGCAACGATAGCGATAGCGACAACGACAAATATTCTCAGAGAGCCTCGGACTATGGTCCTCTCTAGGTCGCTCCCGGTCTCGTCCACGATAACGATGCCACATATTCAACAATAAATGGAGCCGAGCATTACTGCTCGATATGAAGTCTCTGCCCTTGCCGCAGCATGGAATAGAGAAAATGTCAGCGATTCTGGAATGTCTCCCCACATGGCTGCCAGACTGAGCTTCCTTCGACGACGCAGCGACGGTCGCTCTAAACACCGAAAAAACACATTTGGTGCTATATAGTCATTTCAAGCTTGATCAGCCCACACTCACATGATTGTTTGCTACGGTATTATTCAATTTACGTTGTAGATTGATAGTGAGTCTTTCACAATGACCACAAAAAGTTCGAGGGGTGACAGATAGAGTGAGAGACAAAAAAGAAATAATCATGTCAAATGTGTGGTGTTCGCATCCATTTTCGGAGTAGCAACTACGTAATGTACTCCTACGATATTGTACTACGATCGATTTTCTTCGAACCAAATCCAATCCTATTTTTAACTGTACATCGTACGATAGTACTGGTTTTGAGTCGTAGCCGCATGATGTATGTAGCAACGATTGTGGTGGACATTTTACTACCGGTACGAGACTAGGAGATCGTGTCGGAAATTTTGAGAAAGATCGCAAGAAGCGAATATGCTTTAAACCCCCCCCTACCGTGCGTACCGGTGCCCTGTACCGGCAGGAAAGATAGGAATCAAAGCCCACATCCAATCAAATTCTCGTATTTTGGATTTTGCCACCTGCTAGTTACCTCGAGCTAAAAAAAGACCTCGCAGTGCTCATGAAAGCAAGAGCTAGCAATGACATTTCTAAAGCTTTTCTAAAAATAGACCTCTCAAGGCCATTAGAAAACAAGAGCTGGGAAAACCTGTTTCGTGGCTCATTGCATAATACGTAACAACCCACTGAACGATAATATTGTAGATAGTGCGTAGATACGGGACCTAAGAAAAGTAAACTTTGTGAGGCAAAATTTCGGTCTACATTTTGCTGTTGTATTTTCTGACAACAAAATCATCTTCTCTACAGGTACATACTTGAACAATGCCAAAACTAGATCCCAAGAACCTTATTTTCATCGAAGCGCTACACAGTCTCTCAACAGCAGGCAATCCCTGGAGCGGCGGCAGTTGAGGCGGCGCTGGAGCATGTTTGGGATTGCGGGAAACTCCTTTCCCCCGGTGACAAAGTATAGTGCGGTGCAGTGGGATTGTTGAAACAGTGAATGTGTGAGTCGCCAGGCTCGGTAGAGAGCCGGATGGTGTAAGGAGCTGATTTAGTGTCACGGATAAGAAAGATACTGATGGGAGCAAATCCTAHAATAGTGATACTGATGTAACTGGCTATACAGCTGGAAGCATCTAATAAGCAAACAAACAGCTGTCAGGGATGGAACTGGCGGGCTGTATGATGGGCATCTGGAACATGTGAAGCAGTATTGAAGTTGAAGGGATCTTGAATGATGAAAGGATTCAGTTGAAGCTTTAGATATAGGATTAGATGTTTATACTGGACCAAGGAAGCAAGAGGAGTGATTTCCGGCAAGAGGGCCGTGATTATTAGAGCTGGGAGGAGAGCTCATATTTCGTAAAGACAAACAAATAAGAATAAGATAGAGAACACTTTATTTGCCTCAGTTCCCCATTTCAACCGTCTCAACATTCTTCGAAGAACGCTTTGAGCTGTAAGGGTTGTGAATTTGGAGAACAGAAGCCAGCAACAACGAAATATCAAACAGAGAGTAAACAGCAATCGAAAGATCGCTGAAAGAAACAAACAAGATGGTTGCCAAACTGTCTTCAATCAAGATGGAGGTCCCACTGTTTCGGAGCAACACAGTGAGGGAGTACGCCAAGTGGTGGCCGTTGTTCAAAGCATATGCAATTCAGAAGGAATTCGCAGAAGTTATACAGCAGACCAAATGTAAAGATCTCCTGGAGACCGAGCTTCCAAGAAAGATGAAGGACAACATCGAAGATGACATCAATGGGACACTTGAAGAACATACGGATGAACAGTGCAAGGCATTGCTGAAGAACAAGATGGGTATCGCCGCATTCACCATAGCATTCTCTAGGAGTGTGAATGAGGACTGTCAAGCAATGGTCACTGATTCTAAAGACGACAGATATTKGCCAACAGGACAGTGTCATCTTGTAGTGCAAGAACTATTGGATGAATTCGCGGCCGATGATGAGATGGGAATGATCAGACAACGAGTTGAACTGTATTCGATATCTATGAAGAAGCAGGACAATCCCAAGACATTGTTCTCTCAGATAACTTCAATCGAACAGAAGTATAAAGGAAGAACAACTCCTTTGACAGTGGAGGATAAACGGGCGGCCATTCTAATGAGGGCTCCAAGGATGTATCAAGCAGTGATACAAACTGAACGGACCACCGAAAGGAAGATTCATGGTAAAGAACCAACACTGAAGGCACTGAGACAAGCAATGTATGATCATTACAAGAGTATACAAATCAATCAGGCTAACAATCTTTTGCAAGAATTAACGCTGTACTCCGCGACACACGATGGAGATGACAGTAGCGATGATGAAATGGGAAACCTCCAACATCGAAAGAAGAAGAAAGGAAAGAAGTTCGGAAAGGCGTCAGGACCCAGAAGAAAGAAACCGCAAAACAACAGCAATAAGAGTTGTTATGGATGTGGGGAGAAAGGACACATTAAAAGAGACTGTCCGTACAAGAAGGCGTGCGAATACTGTGGAGTCAAAGGGCATACGGAGGACCAATGCTGGAAGAAATACCCAGAGAAAAGACCCAAGAAATTCAAGAAGAGCACAAAAGGTGACGATGACGTTGCGGGAATCGTGGTGGAAGAGGAACTTACATTCACTGTATGGGACGATCCAGCAGGGGGAATGAAATTCCCATGGTCAACAAGCAACGATTCAATTTGCTGTGCGAGTGCAAATACTGTGTGTAATGAAACAGCGTGCTGGAGACAGCAACTAAATAATGAGCTCCCGCAAGACCGTACATCCACGTATAATCCAATACGGGAGGCCAGTTGCCACGCTCAACGGTCATTCCGCATTGCGCAACGGAGGCACAACGACAGGAAAAGGAAACCACATGGAAGTAAGTACAGATATCAACAGTCGAAATACCGGGGTTGGCCGAGAGCGCCGGCTCACACATATACTAGAACCTGGCGGGTGCATGAAATTTGGGAGGGGCAGGAGAAAACAGTCAGTTGGACACCTAAGCCGAAGAACAGTGGAAAGCGCAGGAACGACCGTAAACACAAATTCTATGGTCGCAAACAGGGTAGGCGCGCATACGCGAGGTTCACACAAGCTAAGTCACACGAACGACCAACAGACGACATAATCAGGGACTTGGACAGGGTCCGACACGTGGCAAGGAAGAGCACTACGCAAAACGCACGTAGGATTCAACAGTTGCGAGAGGAGCGCGCGCGCCAAAGAAGGACGAATGACGCGGAGTCAACATTTGTTAGAGTGAACAATGAATTGAGCTTATCAAATTCAGTCGGGACTGAACTGCTATACACGCCAAACATATGGATAGCGGACACGGGAGCCTCGTGTCACGTAACAAATAGCGCGTTGGCAGGGGTTCCTTCAGAGAACGCCAACGAACGCATGAAAACACTACGGCACTCACTGGATGCAAGCGGGAACCGTATGAAAACTAACGCTATCATAGATATCAAAGGAGCAGTGCAAACTAAAGATGGTGAAGCAGTCAATGTAGTATTGAAAGACTGCAGATATGGGGCGTCTAAGTTTAATCTATGCTCGATAACTAAACTAACAGATAATGGGTGGTACATGCGTGGAGACGCTGGAGGAATTCATCTCGTAAAGGGAGATAAACGGATCGATTTTGATATACCGATAAAGACCCAAGAAGGCAAGCTTTGGGCAGCTAAAATAGACCGTAGGAGCCCTAACGATGGGCCCAATGAGTTCACATTGGCCACGCCCGCGACCATGAGCTTGAAGAAAGCCCATGAGTTCTGTGGCCACAGCAACATTAGGGAAACGTCCAAAACAGCTAAGCATATGGGATGGAAAATCACATGCGAAACGTTCCAGCGATGTGAACCGTGTGCTGTGGCAAAGGCTAGACAAGCCAATCTTAGCCAAGGTGAAACAAAAGAACCCAAGAGAATCGGGGAGTTATATTATCTAGACGGTATGAGACTTAAACGTCCGAAGACACCAAAGACCCGAACATTCTTCCCCGCAAACAATTGCTTGGTGATGGCTGTGGAGCATAAGACCGGGGCTCTTTTCACAGGCTGGTATGAACAGAAGAATGGGTTCGTGGAAGATTTCTGCACTTACTTTGCTGGCCAGGGCAATCAGGGAAAGCCACTTAAACGGCTTAGATGTGACGATGCGGGAGAAAATAAACTGTTTCAGAAGAAGATTAATGGAAAACACTGGAGGATGAATGTCAATTTCGAGTATACAGCAAAGACACCCCAGAGAAACTCACGAGTGGAAACCAAGCTGTTTCACATGAGCAACAAGACCCGTGCCGCATTGGAGGCAGCCAACGTACCGGATCAATACCAGTATGTCTTGTTCGCATTGTTCAACAAGTGGTGTTGCCAAACTGACATGCTGACGGTAGTGGAAGTGGATGGGAAAGAAAAGACTCGCCACGAGCACTTATTCGGAGAGCTCCCCGGTTGGGTTGACCATATGCAAGTGGCAGGGATGGCTGGAGTAGTGAAAACACATACGAAGACTACTCCAAAAGTGAATGCCAGGGGCAAGACCTGCTTATTCGTATGCTATGCCACTGATCATGCAAAAGATTGCTACGTGATGTATGATCCAAAGACAAGAAGGACAGTACATTCGAGGGATGTACTGTGGCTGAATCGAATGTATTTCCCAAGCAGGCCCAGACCAGGGGCTGAAATCACTGTGGAAGGAGTGAATCCTCCGGTCCAGGCAGAACCAATGGAGACCGAGACCTTGGAGGACCAATCAGGGGATGGGACTGTAGTAAGCATTGGCTCGTGCTCGTCTAGCGATTCCGAAACAGAAGAAAGCAGCCAGGAAGAATCCCAGGGCTCATCAGTCATCATGTTTGAGGATACTGAAGAGCCACTATTTGATATGCATGACAATAGTGAGGAAGAAAGTGTGATATCTGGGGAGTCCCAGGGAAACCACAGGACCACGCGAAGCGGCCGCGTTGTGAGAACACCGGTTCATCACGATGGGACTCCGCTTGGGGAAGTGATAGCGTTGCATGTTGAAGACCGGCTGCTGACAGAAACTTGCCTATTGGGAGTAGAGGAGGGCAAACGTCTTCATAACCACCATCTCGATGCAGGGATGAGGGCTGAAGAGTTCGTACTGTTCAGTCTAATGAAAGGAAATAACAAGATCTACAGTTCGGTGGAGCACGCGTTTGGATACGTTGACAAAGAAGGGAGCTACAGGCTCGTAGCAGCAGCTCTGGAAGATGATCGAGGAGAGCTCTTTCTTGTGGGCGCCACCGGGCACAACTATGGTAATACGGCTGAGTTAAACGTGATGAACTACAAGCAGGCCATGGCAACCGTAGACCGTAAAGAATGGGAGAAAGCTATCAAAGTGGAACATGATAAGATGGTTAAGTATAACGTGTTCCGGGTAGTTAAGCCTAAAGAAATACCAAAGGGCACCAAACTCTTTGATAGCACGTGGGCGATGAAGAAGAAGCCAGACGGTACTTTCAGAGCTAGGAATGCCATCAGGGGCTTTATGCAAGTGGATGGAGAACACTATGACAGTAATGACAAGTCATCACCGGTTGCCACGGAGGTGGGCATACGTGTTTGTTTTGTATTGGCAATCGTAGGAGCATGGTATCAGCACCTCGTAGATGTGGAGGGGGCGTTCTTGAATGGCGTATTTCAACGACCGGAGAAGCACCGAATCTTCATGAAAGTACCAGAGGCTTATAAGAAGTGGTATCCATCGTGGGCCACCTTCCTATTATTAAAGACACAGTATGGCACAGTGCAGGCAGCATTACAGTACTATCGAGAATGCTGTAAGGCACTCGCATATTTGAAGTATGAAAGGAACGCGGCGGAGCCCTGTGTATTCTTCAAGTGGAAGGCAAAACAATTGGTAATATTTGTGTTGTGGGTCGATGACTGCTGCATTTCCGGGCCTAAGGAATTAGTCCTGCAGGAAGTTAAGGATTTCACCGGGCTGTGGGACTGTAAAGATTTGGGAGAGTTAAAGGAGTACGTGGGATGTAGAGTTGAAAGAACCAGAGACTGGATACGGTTGACTCAACCAGTTAAAGTACAGCGGTTCATTGATGAGTTCAACTGTAAGGGCAATAATGGCCCCAGTCACAGAGCTCCCTCTACACCAGCCGAGCCGGGAAGTGTACTGGAATTTGATAAGGACTGCGAGCCGGCCATAAACAGTAAGAGACAAACTAAGTACCGATCTGGGGTAGGAATTTTGCTGCACATGATGCGTTGGAGTAGGCCAGACGTGTTGAATGCAGTAAGGGAGCTGTCGTCGCATATGACCACAGCAAGCAAAGCCTGCTACAAGGCGTTAAACAGGGTCATGAATTTCATTGTTTCCACTAAAGACAGGGGATATACTTTCAGACCCACGAATCCTGGAATGTGGGACGGATGCCGCGGGACCAGGATCTTCAAGATACGGGGCCAGTGTGATTCAGAGTATGCGAAACACAGTAGTCGTCGCAGTGTTAATGCAGGAATTACGTACTTAGAAGGGGCCATTGTTAAGCAGTTTAGCAAAATGATGCCGATTGTGGCATTATCCACGACCGAGGCAGAGTTATATTTGGCTGTACTAACTGCACAGGATATGATGTTTGTTTATCACATTGTAACCAACTTGGGGCTCAAGGTTCAGCTACCAATGAAGTTGCATTGTGATAATAAAGGAGCTGTAGCATTAGCCAATAACTGGTCGGTCGGAGGCAGAACAAGGCATGTGGATGTTAAACAGCATTTTCTAAGGGAATTAAAGGAACACGGATTCATTGAGGTCCGTTGGAAGACTGGGGCACAAATGACTCCTGATATTCACACGAAGAATGTTTCTAAGACATTATTTGACCAGTACAGTAAGGAGCTCGTGAGCTAGTCAAATAAGGGAAGTGTGTTGAAACAGTGAATGTGTGAGTCGCCAGGCTCGGTAGAGAGCCGGATGGTGTAAGGAGCTGATTTAGTGTCACGGATAAGAAAGATACTGATGGGAGCAAATCCTAHAATAGTGATACTGATGTAACTGGCTATACAGCTGGAAGCATCTAATAAGCAAACAAACAGCTGTCAGGGATGGAACTGGCGGGCTGTATGATGGGCATCTGGAACATGTGAAGCAGTATTGAAGTTGAAGGGATCTTGAATGATGAAAGGATTCAGTTGAAGCTTTAGATATAGGATTAGATGTTTATACTGGACCAAGGAAGCAAGAGGAGTGATTTCCGGCAAGAGGGCCGTGATTATTAGAGCTGGGAGGAGAGCTCATATTTCGTAAAGACAAACAAATAAGAATAAGATAGAGAACACTTTATTTGCCTCAGTTCCCCATTTCAACCGTCTCAACAGGGATAGTGTTACATTTTTTTCCTGGGAGGGTATCATTAGTTGGCGCTTGAATGTGAAAAGAATATCTTGGGATGTGGATTAAAATTAAGTCCTGAATAAACACAGATTCTTCTCGATGTATCTATCGATGGTCTTTCGAACCCCTCGAGGATTGGCTTGACGAGGTAGACGGTACAAACGAAAATATTGAACGAGAACATCACGACTGCAGAAGACTTCTTCGCGGGTTAAAGAAGGATTACAACTCGTGTTTCGGAAGGGTTCAAAACAAATTAGGATCCATAGTTCTAACAAGTGAACTAACTGTATGTAAGCACAGAAATATAGATCCGCCAAACATTTTGTTGGTGTGAGATGACCCTACCGGTATCCAAACTTCATCCAGCAAGTGAAAAACTAGTAGAAGCGAATTTAAGCGATCTAGATGTCTCCGAAATGAGATGCATGGACGACCAGGAGTGCTCTGGACTCCTTGAATGAAATGAACTGCATTTTATCTATCGAAGAGATTGCCACCTGGTTCCCCAATTTCCGAATTTATGCATCAAATGGCGGTGCAAAAAAAATCAGCATGAAATAAATACTGCATGATTTTGATGACTATGGACTCGAATGCAATCAATTTTGTAGACATTCCCGTTCTGCGCCTCACAGTGTTTGCTACAACCCTATGCACGAGTGCCTACTTGGACCGTTTGACACTGCTATCGTTTTCACTTTTCTCTAATAGAAAGAATTATATTCCTTCATATTATAATTTCAGTAGAGGAGTGATCCGCGCTTGGTGTGCCTTGTAGACTTTCTAATGTTGTAAAGAGATATTATACTATCATTTCAACATACCGTTTTCCGGTAACTCAATCCGTGGGTTTGATAAGAGACACGATCAGCTACAAAATATCGCTTCGGGTGCGATCGAATGAGATGCTGCTTTAGTTACACTACTCCATCGGCACGCAAGTTACCCTGTCGCATTCTGCTTCCCAATTCCGATTCTTCCTCCATGGGAGGCAGCTCGACTGTTTGAAAGTGTCCCATATCCGACTTAGCGTAGTGAAGATATTCCAAAAATTTCGGGCTCTTTGTGAAAACTTTACTTCCCCAAATATAGGGGAACCATTCGTCGACAAGAGCACACTGTTGGGAAGATTGTCTCTCAGCAAATCCAAACATACGCTCTTCAAACCCATACATGAGTGTGATGGCCTTCCAACCGCGGAGATTACCCGAGATCTGCCACATGATGTCACTGACTTCTTCTTCGTAATATTTCGCGACATCGGCAAGCGTAGTCGGCTCCGCTCGCACGCATCCGACCAAGTTCATGACGGCATCCAAACAGTTTCGTTCCCACATTTTGCGCCTCCAATCTCTATAAAAATCTGTCGAGCAACGAACATCATTCCGTTCTAACCGCTTGGCGATGGCACCGTTCCACTTCCCGCAGGCCGCACATTCACCGGTCCATTTTTCTTCGCCATAACCATCAGGTCCCAAAGAAACAGAAAGATCCTTTATTCCTTCTTCGCCAAGCTCCATACCGGAAATCAATATCTGCGTCATCGAATCACGGCAGTATCCGCGTTCCTGGAGTAATTCCTCGATGTTACCGTATTGAAATCCTCCGGCAAAGAAACAGAAATCAAACTGACGGTTTTCATAGACATCGTCGACATTATCGAGGAATGGTGCGATTTCTTGGGGTGGCAATGTAATGTAAATCGGATATTCTGATGTGGAGCGTTCACCTTCTCCGAGAACCTCTGGAAGGGGCTGGTATGGAGAGAGAATTATATCGTCTCCATTTCCCATATGCATTAGCGCTTGTGCTAGGGGATTTAGTTCATTGAACTCTAGATCGGCCTCGTTAGGTGAAACAACGATCACAGATGGAGAATCATCTTTTAGTACAATCTCTTGCGCTCCCGAACTCAAGAAATTCTGGTACTCTTTGACAGCCTTGGAATCGGACCAGGTAGCCATTTGCAGCATTGTCGACGAGGATGACGCCGTTGTCGATTGGAATTCAACCCCAACAGGGGCAAAGGCAATGGCAGGACGAACCAATCCGAGAAGAAAAAGGAGAGAAGCAGCAATCATCATTCCGGAGTGAAGTTGTGTGAGCGATAATATTGTTTCAAAAGGAGCGGAAAGCCGCTTTATCAAAACTATCTTTACAGGAAATGCAGCGAGTCTATTAGAACAGGGTGAGAGTTCAGTACTGTTGAAAGGAGCTATCCTGCAAAGGATGTTTGGATGATGTTCTTACGATTCCCCACAGATTATTGGAGGTGAAGAATGTTGGATGAGCTCGTGTGAAGAAGAAAGTACAGTTCCTACCGTACGTGGTCTGTTTCCTTTCGAGAGGAAGCACTCTTTCGAACAAGAACTGTTCATGAACAACAAATATTTTTTCGAAACACAACAAGAACTACGAGTAAGAAGAGTACGTACGTACGAGTTTAATTCTACTTGTACTGGTACGTAGTTGTAAAAAGGAAGACAATCGAAAAATCAGGTTATGGTACATCCCAAAAAAACAAAAAACGATATGAGGGTGATTCCCGTTATTGGGTGATTCCCGTTATTATAGATGTGCTACTTTTCCGTCTGTCTGTCTATCAAAAGTAGCACATTTATTACAAAAATTTATTACATTTGAACAGCTCATTTCAGACGTTTCAAATGTAATAAAATTTATGATGGAACWCACGATTCAAAATTTCGAGTCCGTTGAAAAACTCTGAAAGACTCAACAGAAAGCCCGCCAGAATCCTAAGACAGAACTCGACAAAATTGAGATTTTTTTCTTCTAATCAAATAAGAGACGGGCATGTGCCATGGCTATGGACAAGAACAACACTGGCACCATGGCGCCTTTATTAAGTATTTGAGAAAGGACATAAAGAATAATGTCCCGGTCTGTACTCTTAGTCAGTACATTGTATTTTCTGTCTTTGTTGGCATCAAAGAGAGGAAGAGGACGAGGAGGCCGGCGCCATCGAGGACCTCAACAAAGAGGAGGAGGGAACGCRACACCACCATTGTCCACCAATTCCCCACACTATATTTGTATCCAAGATGGCAGGCGCTAGCAGTGGCCGCAAGGCAGGAGTAGCAAACTACACTCACGACGAGCTGGACAGTCTCATTGGTATGATACTTGACAGGGTTCCCATGTGCTACTTTTGATAGACTGACAGACCAAAAATTTAGCACATTTATCAAAATTTATTACTTTTGATAGTGCCCAAACTGGTGATATCAAATGTAATAATTTTTATGATGGTACTAATGATTCAAAATTGCAAGTCTGCTGTTGAAAGACTGAAAACAAAATCACGTGCTTGCCTCTTTTTAAGTGAGTCCGTTGAAAGACTCAAAACATTTAGTATCACATGACTGAGATTTACTAGTACTAGTAGTACTAGTAGTAACAAAGCTGGTGGAGAATAATTAAGATTACAGATTCCCAGAAAGAGTTGGAATGTAGCCTGCCTGCCTCGTCGTCTGTCCATTTTTTGCAATCCCTGTTATTATATGAAAAAATGCTAAATGTACCAGTTTGGCACGCCTATTAAAGGGAATCACCCATTACTACTAGTACTAGTAGTAATGTACTCCTGTAGTACAAGCAAGTACTCTGTATCATCTTCCCTAATACTGCCTCATGCCACAACACCAATCAATTCGATTGTTTGTCAACAATTACAAGCACCTAGTACTAGTTGATTCATAAAATCTGGAAAATAATTAATTGACTAAAGGGAGAGCACAGACGTTTCAATTTTTTTCATTCTCCCATCTCCATTTCTTCCCCTCTCCCCCCCCGCGGCCACACAATAGTTTCCACAGTGCAAAAACTAAGTTAGTGCCAGTAAGGTCAAAGTTATGCTCTGAGAAGAATGAAGTATTAGAAGCTATTAAATGAAAGCACTGAGGCTGTTTGTTGTTTCGGAAATAGGAATGGAAATCATTGATTTGTTGTGTATGCTGGGTATTGCTTTTGTTGTTGTTGTTTTTTGTGAGCAGAAGAGGTGTTCTTACAAACATACCATTGGAAGTTCTAAGAACTCTTCTTGTTGAAAGCGCAACATAGTAGTAGTTCCAATTGCTTGTGTAAGACCAAGTTGAAACCAACACATTTTTCCAAAGATCTTCCCTGTAATTTGTGAACAGTTCTTGCTTAGCATTTTAGTTTTGAGGCCTTGATTACAATGGTGTGATCTGGTAATTGTTTTCAGAAACTCAGAAAATATGCCATCATTTATTGCACATTTGTCTGCATTGCTGTATGTTACAGAAGCATTACTACTACCTTCTGGGAGTTTGTCCCAATGTTTTACAATTCTAGAATTGATGATTTGAACATACTCTTCTTTCAAGTCATTTGTTCTTAATTTGTGAAAACAAGCTCTCCCCAGATTGGATCATCTTTAAACATGTGTCGGTTTTTTTTCTCCAAAGAGGAGAGAGTCTCCTCCAACAGGTTTGAGTTGACTGAAGTCACCTGCAAAGTCAATTGGTAGAAGATTGCCATGCAAATGATATGATGGCTTGTCACACAATAAGTTCAGATACTCATTCAATATTTCAATTTGTTTGATGCTAGCAAATGATACTATCTTGTCAACAATGAGTAGGCAAGTCTCATTTTCTTATGAATCAACCTGTGTAAAATTGGTAGATCTGACATAATTAGTAAGATGGCAAGCTATTGTGTTGTTTCCCCATTGATATTAACTAGTACTACTATATCAGTAATGCCTGTGATAGCMAGAGTTCTACTGGAAAGTTTGCTCCTACTAATTCTTTGCAAATCAATTTACAATAATGTTGAACAGAATGAATTACTTTTGCTTTTCCAGTACCACCACGTCACAAAAAGTGATTGCGGGGTTTGGTCGCACCCCCATGCGCGTAGTTTTTGTGCGACCACTTAACACGGGTAATTTGTGATTATCAAGCTT